CCTGTCCCGTCACATAATAATCCATAACAATGATCACATTTGTCGAATGATGGCAAATGCTCACTGCTAAACCCTAACGGCATTTGTTTTTTGTCTACGACAAGATTCAACGAAGCTAATTTGTAAGTAATTTTCTCTTCCTTGCCTTCGACGATAGAACTTTGACCTAATCGTTGGTAAATATTACCAAAAATTTCCAAAAGGAACACTTACGCCTTTTTTGTTAATAAGGTCAAATTATCTTCATCCGCATACGTAGACTTTTTCTGAACTACAAATGCATCTTCAAATGCGATAATATCCTTTCTGGCACTAACGACCTTGGCAATCTTGGAAAGCTGTTGCGGAGTATCGGTAAAGGAGCTCTGTCGTCGTATAATACTATGCATATTCTCAACGGGATAATCTGTGAATTTAACTAAATGATTTTCTAATACATTTAATATAGGATGGTTGTTTTGACACCAATAAAATATATCAGAAAGAAAAACTAAAGGCGCTTTATTGTAATTATGCCTTTCAAACCGTAAAAAAATGCACCACGCCCGAAATACGCCTTCGATATATAATTCCCAATCTCCAGACCGAAATAAAGTTGAATATATATCTAACCCGACCGGTACTGTATTGTCTAATAATTCAAATAAAAATAAAAATTCAATATTCTTATAATATTTTCTGAACTTATCTATTACTATTGGCTTGATTTTCTTCCAAGCGCTTCTTACTAGCTCAAGAAGTACAAATATTCGATACGGGCTTGGTGTCTTGCTGAGCGCTATATTTGTACTAAATATATATTTATACTCCATATTGAAAAAGTCCCAATAAGTCTTTAGTATAGACTCGAGTAGATTTAGCTGAATATGAAGGACGCCAATAATTGGAACGAAAGATAATATACTGTCCGGTATATCATCTTTACGGTTTAACAAATGAAGAGTAATTGCTTGGCGTGTAAATACCTGCCCGGGCCAATCAGCTACAATTGGAATAACATGGTTAGTTAAATAATTATTTAATAAAGGAATTTTATGAACTTCTCGCAAAGCATTAATATACGAATCCATGTTTTTAAGACTAAGTTCAAAAAAATCTAAGAGAATCGTGTCTTTCATTTTGCGCTCTTCCTGCTGTTCTTGTATACGAGAATCGTATTTGTGAAGAGTCATATTCTCAAGTTTCTTGTCCAAAGGTACTTCACGATAAAACTGGTCATTAAACGTTTTAGACATTCGTTTCATATAGTAGGTATCTAAAAAATTGCAAATAAGGTTAGAATTAACTAAATTTGGATTGTGAACTGATATACCATTTGGTGCGATCTGTAGAACAGCATTTGAATCAACACCATTTAACAACAAGGTTGTCATATACGCTACACTCAATGTTAAACATGTATCCAGGATTCGTTTGGTGTGAATATTATGATAATCATCGACGTTAAGAACTAATGCATTATTTTTTTTAATTTCCAGATACGAAGTAACTCTATGTGAATGATTATCAGCAATGGCTGTCTTTTCTCTATCCAGATGTCTTCGTGAAATTGTTATACCGGCATGTGATAAGGCATCTATAGCTTCCGTGGAAACCCCCATTAAATCTACAAAAAGAGACACATCTTTTTTAAATGTGGTTAG